GAGCTACAAGGCGATATGTATTTTGCATATATCTTTCTCGCATATATCCCTACAGAAAATAATCATATAAATTTATCTATTTTGTTGCTATTTAAGCATAAATCGCAATTAGAAATTCACCTCTTACTGGAAAATGAAATTCGAGAATATATTATATCTAAGTGAATTTCTGAAGATTTCCTTGTGATTGATCTTAAATCAAATGATCTTTTGCAATCTATTATTACCTCCATGTCGACTCACTTTACTTTTATTGAAAGATTTCTCGAGAAAAGGCATCAAAGGCAAATTATTCAAGGGTTACTTGGTGAAAAGTTACTTCCATCAAATGTCATAAAATCTAACACTTACAAAATTAACTTTGATATACTCTCCAACCATCACCTTGATATACTCACGAACGCTATTCAGAATCATTTATATAATGATAATGCTAGTGTTAGTAAAAAATTTTTGCAATCCCAAACTATCCAACCAATTCCAAATATTTCTAAAATACCTATGGAATTTATGCGGTTATTAGAGTCCGAGATCTTTAATCACACTGAAGTAATAAACTCTTCAGATTGGAACTGAAAATGATTGTGGAAAGAGTTCGCTTCATGGGTGTGTTTTTCAACTAGTCCAAATTTCAGGCTTCAATTCCGTCTTCATTGTCATTATAGCTCAAATGAAACCTCTAGAAGGGCATAATATTCATGATGCATTTCGGAGATACCCAACTGATAAACTTCATATTGCCCAGGAAATAACAAAAATGTTGCAAGTGGTATTGGTATTACAGGGTATTGGCATGTTTTAAATCCACAATGCTTTACAAATACTTTAGGTGAGACTGTGGTAAATTTTTTTAGCATCGATAAAATATTTGCAGGTGATGTGAAAGAAAATTATTATAAATATATAATCAACAATCCCACATATCAGTCTAAGAATTTCAAAACAGATTTAATAGAATATTTTGGTTATTTCGCTGATAGTAATAATTTGCCATATACCATGTCAAACACTGCTTCCTCTTATCATAAAACACATATGAAATGTGTGAAAAACTTGATTCAAGGTATCCAACCGCTTTCCATTTCAATCAATAATTATTTTGAAATTACGTATCCTAATTTATATATGAAAATGAAAAAACTCGATCTTAGCCCCAATGTTTCGAACCCCTTTGAAGCTTTTTCTATAGTTGCTATCAATTTTAACATTATTTGCCAGTTTCATTGAGACTTTAAAGATCATCGAAATACACTTTGTGTAGTATGTTTTCTTGGAATATTTGAAGGAGGAGAATTAGTATTTTCCAAGTTAAAGTTAGTTGTCCACGTTAAGCAAGGGCAAGCGTGGTCTTTAGATCGAACCTTTTGATTCACGGAAATCTTCCAGTTATCGCTGGAGTTTGGTACAGCGTAGTTTTTTATATCCATAATACTATTATCAAGCAGAAGCGCAAATTTGACTCTCTCTTTGACAATTATGTCTTGAACTGGAATCATAATAGCAACGAGGATGAGGCATTATCAAAATATCTTCTTCCAATGCTAGGTTTTGAAGATAATGTGATAAAACTGAGAAATAATAGATGAATGAATATAGGTATATGTAATATTTACATTTAGCCACTCTGCCTCTGGTAATTTAATATATTTAACGATAAGAGTCTAATATTTATCTTATGTATTCCTATATTAAAAGATATAAAGTGGGCAAAGGAAAGATTAATTGCATGTAAAGATGGGTCTCTAAAGGGGGAGACAAGGATATAAGTCAAATGTCCCTCACTAGGAAAAATTAAAATTTTTAAATTAATAACTATAAAAAAACTACACACAATTGTTCTCCATTATCTAAATCATTGATTTATAGTATTTTCTGACTTTTGTCCCTATTAAAGTGAAGAGCTATGAATTTTGTCCCTCAAAAAGGGACATAAGTGATTTGTGAAATTTTATATACTAAATACTTTAGGGACCCATCATTAACCGCATGATATAAAAATAATCTATTTCCTGATGAGTTATAACGAAAATAGAAACCTTATGAGGTTTTATCCAATTGGGGATGTGGGTCATGACCCCACTGTTTTAGCAGTTATAAATATATCAAATTTTTAATCTAAATATATCATGCCTTTAGACATCTCTTTGAGACTTGATTATTATAGATTAAATAAAGATTTCATGTAGGTACTTCGTACCATTGTTATACAATAAATATATCAATAAATGTGTTCGATGAACTTCTATGCTAATCTCTGATTCACGGATTTAGGCTTGAAGAGCCATTTCTTTGAAATAAAACACATGACATTGCTCGTGATGTAATTTCGCAGTTACTATGTGATTATAATTATTTTTAGATTAAATTTGCTATATTTATGCATTATTTTCTGCATTAAATATATTCAACTCGTCAAGATATTTTATTATAGCAAATATAATAAGTATAGTAATACTAATAATAAAACTGATCAAAGTGAAACATTTGCTTATTTATATGAGATATTTTTATATAAGAAGAAGGATATAATAGCAATTCAAAAAAAACTTGATATTAATAGTAATACGTTAAAGCAAATAAAACATAAGTCCCGATGGAAAAACACTTGCTAAACTGGTTTGCAAGGCTACTTCTATGAGTTTGGAGGTCCATCTATCTATCTCACTTTTATCTCTTCTATAGTATTATTGATTAATGGTTATATCTTCTTTTTATCTGCTTCTCTTTTTCTATCTTGATACAACTTATCGAATTCTTTAAGAAATGTTTCAGATCCTTTTTTTCACACTGCCAGAATCTTATTTTTATAACCAGAATATTCTAGTAGAATCTTCTTTTTCTGATTGCATAATATATAGTTTGCTTGCTTATATAAGTCAGATCTTCTTATTACTAGCTTGTTTAAAATAAATAGATTATCATTAATTAATTTAATCAAGAAACTTTTTCTTTGTGAACCTTTGAAAGAGATATCTCATATATTGATATTCTTTAACCTATCCTATGTCAGGTCTTATAAATAGGTTTGATATTCTTGAATTTGATAAACCTTTTTATCTCTGTTCTATGTTATTGTGTTTATAATAAGGCAGTTGATCTCTTATTAATTTATTTGATAAACTATCAAATTGAGCTATTCATCACATCTTTTTGTCACAATATTACTGTAGATATCTTGCTTGATTTGAGGCTATTTCACTTTATTGCAGAGAGCTTTAATACTTCTTTAATCAATTGATATACTTTTTTATTCCATAGATCATTAGAGTAAGCTTTAACTTTAGTTAAAGTTAGTTAAATATATTTTTTCTTTATAAAATCTAACATTCTTATTCATGATGCCCAGTTTTTTTTTTTTAACTGCAATTATGCTACAATGGCATGTCTTTATTGAAAAATTGAAAATGAATTTATAATATTTTATAGACTTTCATAAAGTAACCAACTTATTTTTATACAAAAGTACTCTAAATCAAATTTTGGAAACAATATTTCATTCCCCTAATAGATTGATAATAACCTCTATTTACCAGGATCATTGCCAACAGTTTATCACTGTTTATTGTTCAAAAATCAATGAATTGCTAAGTTAAAAAAGAGGAAAAGGAAAAAACAATTAGGAAAAGAAGACAATTCAAGGCCCACCAAAAAAAATCCAAAAATAAAAACAACCTCTTCTCAAAAGGGATTTACTTGATTGGAATAGTCTTCTTGCTTCACTTGAATTTCAGAGGAAATCTTCTTTTTTACCATCTGCAGCATCGGATGAGTCAATCCAACTGATCTTTCATTTAAGTGAGTATCGGATTGGAATATTTCAAGGAAAGCATTTAGATCTTAGCTTTTTTCCGTTAAAGCTTTGTCACCACTTGAGAAACTTAGATAAGAGATGGAAGTTTGCAATCCACATTATCCATCACTTGATCTTTTGATGTCATGGAAGTTTTCATTAAGGAACTTGAGCTTTTTGGGGGCAACCGTTTTTAAAACTTTCTTTTCAATTATCAATGATATTATCAGAATACATTAATATGACCAATAGAAGCTTGTTTATATTTCAAAAACTAACATGTTTCATGTTAGCCAATTACCTTTGGTGAGGATTTGTGTTACTAAAAATTCAGGATCAAACTGAGGTAGGCAAAATTCCCCAGAAAACTATGAAAGCGATAGCTCTAAGAGATCCAACAGTGACTAGAAGGGAAAAAATAAGCCCTTCTGTCATCAAAAACCTCTATATACCTCTCGCTTCAAAGATTAAATAGATCTTCAGGTATTTCACAGTCAGTTCTTCTTCCTTTGGAAACTTTCTTGCCATTGATATTAAAGGTGTTACTTGACTTTTCTTGATCATCAAAAGTCAAGTTTTGAGTAAAAAGGTTTGTAAATAAAAGAGAAAGAGTAGAGGCGACTTTTGAAGTCATACTTCAAGTTGTTTTAATAAAAGTATTAAGACTTTATTAGCAAAGAAGTATAGAAACTTCTTGCGAATATCTTTTTTGTGTGTGATTAGAGAATCAGTAAAAAGAGTTTTTTTTTTATAATGACCAGTTTTTTTCTTTTGACCATCTTTTGTGTATTATCTTAGGATCTTCTTTTTGAGTTTTTTATATTTAGAGATGCAGACTTGACTATAAGTAAATATTTCTATTATATTGTCTATTAGAACTATCAAAACTATTATAACTAGTGCTATCAATTCTACTCTTATAGATAAGAGCTAGTTTTTAACTCCTGTTTGGAATTTACTTTCTTTTTCCGCTCGTTCAGTTTGTATTCATGCTACTTCCATTCTTGTATTTTCATTGCCATGATCAATCAAGAATCCATCTAAATAGAAGATCAGCTTCTTCTGTAATTCTTGATTATACTAAAGAATTTCAAGTAGATGATCTTAATATACTTTTTGTTTAATATTGTCTCTAATTATTTCTTGTTCCCAGTCTCCTATTAGTATGTGTTCTATTCTTTCAATTTGATTATTTCTTTGGTCTTGGGTTTTTGAAACTATACTTGTTGTTATCCTATCAAGCTCAAGTAAGAAATAAGGAATCTTTAGCGATTGTACTTCTCTGATATTTTTTTGATAGTTTAGAAATAGTATAGTATAGTATACATTATATCTGATTTTATTTCTATATTGCATTTATTTCTCTTTTTATTATTTAGGAGGCATCCTGAACATTTGATAAGAACTGTTTCTAGACTATTTTCTGTTTCTTGTTAATTAAAGTGACAGATTATAGCTATACCTTGACTATTTTCTTAAATTAGTTTTCTCATTACTAGTTGTTGGCTTTTTTTCTAAATAACTATTCAAGTTTTCTTCCTTTTGTCTTTATCAAGTTTAGGCTTTATATATTTTGGCATCTATTTTTTCTTTCCATCTCTTTTCCTAAAGTTTTGTAAGATCTTCTGTACTTTTTTTAGTTATGGTTCTTTGCAGGATATTAAACTATTTTTGGATTGAGCCCTTGCTTGTGTTTTGTATAAGTTGAACTATTCTTTAATTTCTAAACTTTATAGGGTTTTGATTTATTGGTGATCTATATACAGTATATTAATCTATTGTTTTCATCAACTCTTTCCCATAGATCCCTGACCACCACTTCCAAAAAAAAGCATTTCTCCAAAACTTTATGTTTTGAGAGTAATAAAACTTCAAAACTCTCCTTAAAAACACTTGCTTTATTTAGCAGTAGTCATACTCTATCCTTCTTGTTTATTTTTCTCTTTACAAACCCCTTACCTAAGAAGTTAAAGGCAAGAAAGCTTTTCTAGGAAGAAGAAATCAGACGAAAAAATACTTTCTCTCTCTTCCCTATGGAGGTCCTAGAGTCTAAGAAGAAGTTTGGGCCAACAACTCCAGGCCAGCTGACAAGCTGACATCATTATCACAGTCAAAAATGGCTTCTCTCTCAGTGTGTAACAGTTTTCTTGATTTTTCTGGGGGATTTTGCCTACTCTAGCTTGACCCTAAATTTTCTGTTACATCAGATTTTGGACAGATTGATTGGCTAAAGTCTGGAATTGGTTGCTCCATAGTTAGCAGAAATGTAAACAAGGATACATGTGACATAGAACGTGAATGCATTTCCTAAGCTCCATAAGAACTTTAGATCCATCATAAGTCACCAGCTAGTGTGCAGGTAGATAAATATCACATGAACTGTGATCTCCTCTCTCTCATTAATCCCGAAAGTATCAAGACTATGGATCAAGTTCCTTCAGAGGCAAAGTTGGATGGAAGAGCAGTTGTTAGATGGCCCTTCATTTTTTCTTCTTTTTTGTTTTTTTATAAATATTTTAAACCTTACCCCTTCATCTTAAAAATTTTTTAACACTAACTAGTCACAAGACTAGTATAAGGGACCCCCCAACATCAGATGGTGCTGGGAATCTTGTGTAAGTCCTGGTATGTTAGGCCACATAGTGGGTGGCAACAAGTCAACCGGTGGATATATTAGCATACTCTAGATAATGTCAGTTCCTGAAT